GGCCCAGAAAGCCAAAGTCAACATGGCTGGCTTGTTCGATCCCAGCCTCAGCTGATAGAGGAGAGAAACCCTGCTCACACCCACCACGTGGGGCACCCCACCTGCCGGCGTCCTGCGAGATGGTCACGGTCACGTCCAGGCCCAGCGTGGTGACTCTCTTGCACACGGCGTCCATATCGATGATGGAATCGATGCTTTCAGGCCCGTCCTCCACACAGCACTGCGAGCCGGGGCAGAAGCGGCAGTTGTCCAGTCCCTTGTAGCCTTTGTTGTGTCCACATTTCTCCAGGGTGACCGTGGTCGCCATGCCTGACACCCCCACGTGCACCACCAGCTGCGGACAGAACGACGGATGGGCGGGGCTTAACGTGGCCTGGCTAAGGAACTGGGGACACCCATAGGCCAAAGGAGCGGGCAGTATCCTCAGGGGGCTCTGCCTAGAGTTCAACTGTTTCTGATTTCTCGCAGCTGGAGTAGATGCTGCAGTGACTCTCGCAGAAAGGTATGCCAGGCCAAACAGGCAGGGATGTGACGTATACATGGGGATTCACTGTAGCTCTTCTTGTTACTGTAATTCGATTCTGGAAACAACTTCGCTAGTCACTCGTGGGGAGGGGGTTAAATGAGTCATGATCAGGACAGCAGGTAGCATGGTGATTAAGGGGCTGGACTCCCACATGGTCAACTCAGGTTTGAGTCCCAGACCCAGTGGCTTGAAACTCACCACGGGCGCATGCGTGTGCATGCCTAAAATCTCGAGAGGAGAATGGAGGAGACAGGACTGCAATGTGGCCATCCCCCGTGGGGAGTGATTTTTTACTTTCTGTCTCTCTCTGTCTCTCTGGTGAGTGCATGTACCCTGTAGCAAAAATCTCTCCAATAAATAAATAAATATTGGGGCCAGCAGGTGGCACAGTGGTTAAGGATGCTGGACTTCCACATAGCTGAACCTGGTTCGAGTCCTGGACCCGGTAGCTTGCTTTCTCTCTCTCTGTCTCTCTCTGGTCAAATTAAAATAAGTAAATATGTGGGTGTCTGTGTCAAGGTCGCACCGGCCATTCTTAAGCAGTGAAGGTCATGACAGCCATTTTGATGTGGGCGGCTCCCCACATAAATACATTAATTTAATTTAATAGTTTTTAATAAATAAGTAAATATCTACTATACAGCTGTTAAGATGCCCAAGGCAGAGTCAGCACCAGGTGGCACGGAGGTTAGGGCAGTTGGATCCCACATGACTAGTCTTGTGGTTCAATTCCCAGACCTGGTGGCTTGAAAATCATACTGGGCACCTGTGTATGTGTGCCCAAAGTCCTGACTGAAGAATTATAGCAAAAAGGGGGGCTGGCAGATGGCATGGTAGTTAGGGATGCTGGACTCCCACATGGCTGACCGTGGTTCAAGTCCCGGACCTGGCGGCTTGCTTTTTCATGTTCCCTTTCTCTTTCTCACACTGTCCCTCTCTGATCAAATTAAAATAAGTAAATTAATAAGTAAAGTAAGGGCCAGCAGGTGGCGTGGTGGTTAAAGGCGCTGGATTCCCACATGGCCAACTGTGGTTCGAGTCCTGGACCTGGTGGCTTGCTTTCTCACTTTCCCAATCTCTTCTTGTTCTTGTTCTGTCCTTCCTGGTCAAATTAAACTAAAGAAAGAAAGTTATTCTTAATCATTACTAAGGTGAATTTTATCATTACTTATTCATTTTTAATTCTGTTTTTAAATTTTGCTACAAGGCACACATACTCACCAGAAAGAGGGGGTGGGCAGCAGGTGGCATAGTGGTTATGGATGATGGACTCCCAGGACCAGCAGTTGGCGTAATGGCTATGTCACTGGACTCCCATGTAGTCAACCGTGGTTCGAGTCCCGGACCCAGTGGCTTAAACTCACGCCAGGTGCGTGTGCGTGCGTGCCCAAGATCCCGAGAGGAGAATGGAGGAGAACGGATTGCAGCGTGGCCATCCCCCCTGGGGGCTGATTTCTCGCTTTCTGTCTCTCTGTCTTTCTGGTAAGTGCATG